GGCTAAACTTATTCTCTTGAATATAGGTAATCTTCCGATAAAAGAATCAAGATTTTCAAGGCTTGGGCCAAGGTTTACAAGTAGCATGCATCCAAAAAAAATTCGTCTATAAGAGTTCTAAGGAAATAAATTTTATTAACTTAAAACTCAACAATAAAATGGGAAATAAAATGTAATATTCAACATATTTATGCATACATCACTTGAATTGATCCAAAATTGAATTTCCATATATACCAGCATAATCCAATTCATACTAATATGAATTTTGGTATATATATACTAACCCAAAATCATTAATTTAAAGATGAAATTTCATATGTAATAGACTTCCATCAGCAATATCAAAATCAAGGTGACAAATATGCTCTTGATTCCCACAATTAAGTTACTTCCATCATATCACTTTTTATTGTGGGCAGTTCAATTATATTTAAGAGAGAATATGACAGTATTACATGAATAAATGATGAGATTAGCATAGAACAGATCATAAAAGAAAAGAAATAATTTAAGGACAATACTAATTACTGAACCCCATGGAGAAACAATCATGCTACTTGAACATAATTGTTGATATAATTATTGATATAATGACACATGATAATTTATCATTGGATTGTTTAAAATACAGTCAACTTTTTTAACCAATCACATCTTGCAAACATCTATTTTGTCAACTATTATGTCACACTTTTCGGGCAAAATAGCATTATTATGGAGAAATTGAGGAAAAATTGTCAAGAAAAGAGAAGAAAAGAAAATAGATCCCCATCCTTGGAAATTGGAATGGAGAGTCCTTGTTTTCTCCTCTTTTGAAGTCAACATAATTATACCGTATTTAATGCAGTTTTAGTCGAAGCACAATTGCGTGCCATGACTATTCTACTGAGATTTCAATAGAGGAAATTACACCAACACCTGAAAATAGATTTCCAATTTCACAAATCCAATAACAAGTTCAACATTTCAAAAATTAGGTTTTAATTAATAATTTAAAAATATTTTTTATTTTTGTTTTTATATTTATATACAATAAAAGGAAATTGACCCCAATCTTGAAGCGACGCCGACGATCGAAGAATACATGTGTCCCGATCTTGAAGCGGCGCCGGAAGCGGTTGGGTTCTCTGTTTTCTCTCCGGCGCTCGAAGCACAACGCGCAGATCTGTTATTTTCATCTGATTTTTTTTTTTAGTTTTTGAGTTTTGCTATAGCGGATATGTGGGTTTGATATTTTTCGATTCCATTT